TATCTTATATCTATCTCATAACTATCTCATATCTATATTACATCTATATCAACATCTACTCAACAACCCCATCGCCACCACATCGCCAAACCTCATAAGAGATCGCCCAATAGGTACGCTCCGGCAAGGCCTATTGGGTAAACCTGGGAGAAGCGTTAAGAAAGCCCAAGTATCGCCACATCGCCGTCAAAAACATCGCCATATCTCGACAACAGAAGCTTTCTCGACAAGCCAATCTAAAGACATATACAACTCAAATACGCAATATAAGTCGTATCACTGCATGTGTATCACTGTCACTCGACTCGACGTACCAATCCAGGAGTTCGGACTCCCACGCGGAAAAAGCTGAGTATACCCTATTCAAAATTTCGAAATACAATATCCTTTCCTCCGTCCTAATCTCTAGATTAGTATAGACCAACACTCTGAGAACCACGCATTACAATCAACGCTCTCTTACTAATTCGCCATTCCGTTCGCTTTGACAGATTCCATTCCAGCGAGAACAAAAATACGGCACATTCGATCCCATGGTCCAAATTTCAAGCATCATCCAACTAGGGTTTTCCGGAAATATAAGCACCACTTAATCTTCACGAGACGATTATTAATTACAGGATCCACGTGAAGTACCAGCCAAACGCCAACAACTATAAGCAAGATCAGGAAAATATTCTTCAAGTGCCAACATATAGTCAACATCTAAATGGGAAAATTGGAATAGATTGTTTTTAAGAAGAAAAGAGAAGAAAAGAGAAGAAAAGAGGATTCAGATATCACCAACAATGTAAATCTATATAGCATCAATAGTTAGATAGACCTAGATAGCATCGATTTCGCGTACCTTCCAGATCCAAATTTCAATGTTGGATTTTGGCAGGTGCCTTCCTCTCAGGAGGGAAATCGTAGATGGATGTATATAGCCAATTGAATGGATTATTTCCTCTATTTTTCTGTATATCGTACTTGACTTAAAAGTTAGTAGTATGTATTTTCTTGTTTGTGAACCGTTTATTGGTGGTGAGTGGTTTGATCGATTATAATTGTGAGAGAATTGGGTGGGAGATCGACAATAGTATTTATTGTTGAGGTAGGAACGGGTTATGGAAGATTGATGAATAAATGAACAACAACTCGCCATGGTGCCGGACCCTGGGGTTACGGGTTACGATAGTAACATTACAACGAATGCAAAATACTGCCGGATAGATATGTATGAGTATGACTGCGAACAGGTAATGAAACAATCTTGATGGTCGACTTCACTCACTACCAACTGAGAGAGATCCATTTGCAGCACTAATAAAAGGGGAATAATTCATGAAAAGAAATGAGAAAGGAACGAGTAAATTGAATATAAAGAGACCAATGAGTTACACATGAGAGCTAGAGGGAAGATCCAGAGGCTAACAGAAATGGAAAGTAGATGATTTCAGCCACTATATTCTCAACCCTTCATGTGATTCTTGAGTAACATTAGAAAACTCGGATACACTTACTCGAAAGTATTTAGACAGTCAGGATTCGCCCGCCTAAGGCATTCAATCAAGGGGATCCCAATACATGCAAACAAGATAAGACTACAAGCACCAAACGCTAGCCAATGCAAATTTTTGGAGAAGATATCATTAAATTGATTCAACGCCAAGTTTCTACCAATATCCCCCTCTTGCACTCTGAGATGAGATATTGCTACATGATGAGCACAATGTGTTATGCTAATATAACCCTCTAATGATCAACACCAGCAATATTCGAAGTGTGTATATATCTTTGTTTATCTCGCTGGTTCTCATTCTCCTGATTGTAACAACCCAACCCCATTAAACCATACCAAAATGTCCAAGCCGCCCGCTTCTCAACCCATGCAATTTATTTCATCAATTTTGCGATGAAAGGGTGCTTCAATGCTTCCGTGGGTGTTATTCGTTTCTCTGGGTTGAGCGCTAAACATCTTTCCAGTAAGTCCCCAAACAATGTCAACTCCTTCTGCTCAACCTCTGTTAGCCCCTTTGATGCCGAAATTAGACGAGTTCGAAGATCTCTACTTGGCTTTGCGAATGCCATTGTCTTAACGACATCCTTGCCAGTTAATTTGTCTGGTTCAACGCTTCTGAAATTCAACATATCATCGAAATGAACTCCGGCAAAATCTGCTTTTTTCAACATCTTGACTGAAAACTTTCCGCGGCAATCCATGATGGAGCGCAACATTTGATTATTTGATCTACCGGTGAATAGGATTTTACCGGTATACAATTCGTATAGGGTGCATCCAATGGACCAAATATCAATGGCGAAGTCGTATTTCATACCAAGAATAATTTCTGGCGCACGATAGAAACGAGAGACAAGATAGGGAGTGATTTCGTTATCCGTTGCGTCCGAAGCGGATCCTAGATCACAAATTTTGAGCATATTACGAGTTTCATTCACCTAAGCAATGAGTTAGTAAAGAAGATTCGTGAGTTGAAGTAGAGCTTACCAAAATATTATCAGGTTTCAGATCCGCGTGCAAGATATTGGCCTTCTTCATCAAGCTGAGCCCGAGAAACATTTGATGAGCATATGCTCGCACGGCCTTGAGGTTGATACCAACATTGTTTCCAAATTTTTTCAGGACCTCACGCAGATTGATACTCAAATGTTCGAAAACCATACACAAATGACCTTTGTGCTCAAAGTATCGTTCTAGACGTATCATATGTTTTTTGTCCTCGGGATCAGCATCTTTGATCTTTTCCAGAATCTCAATCTCTTTCATTCCAGCCTTCCTCCTATGATACGGTTAGTATATGCGATTTTGAGTGGGTGTAATTAACTTACATAGTCTCGTTATTCCTAATAAGCTTAATTGCGACCAACTTCTTCGTAGTAATATCCATAGCTCGAACCACACCCGAGAACATACCCTTTCCAAGATTCGCTTGGACATGATATCTACCATTCAAGAGTTCACCAAGGATAATTTTGTAATAACCCTCAAGATCATCCCAATTGTCGAGCATGCCGATGTCGAGCTCTTTTGCCTGTGGAATAGGCACTGCTTTGGCAACATCACCATTCGTGATAGCTTGAGGCTTATCATCCGCAACTGAATCTTCGGCAAACATGTCATCGTCGTCATCGTCTGCAAACATATCAAATTCGTCCTTTGTTTTTGGAGCTCTGACTTCAGCGGGTGCGATTTCGGCAGGAAGGAGGACATCTTGTTCAGATGTAGGCTTGGTTTCGTTGTATGCCCCAGAGGATACCTCATCAAAATGTCGTTGTCCGTCGCGCTGTCTATCTTCCCTCATATCCATAGTTGGATCATAATCTGCGGCTGAAGGCCCATCATCCTCATCTGCTGTTGGAACTCCGTGTAAGTTGGCAAGATCTTGATCATCCGTGATTGCAAAAGCGGAAGGGGATCCTGGGTCCACAGGGGTCCCGGGACTTGAGACGGTAGGTGAAGCTAAAGCGAACGGATCAGAGAGGAATTTGCAATACAGTGTAATCTGCTTACCGGTGGGGCCTGAAGGACTATCATCTTCACCTTGTCCAGGAGTGGATCCTCCAGATTTGTCTCCTAAGTGCAAAGCTTGTACTAACAAGGGTGTACCAGAACCTCGATACTTAGCTTTTATTGCCTCGCGGCGCTTGCGTCGCTGCTCTATGAGTGTAGCTTCATCAATTGGCTCTTCTTCAGGAACTTCATTAGAAGCTTCCTCAGCAGGGGAAGATCTAGATTGCATCAGTAAATGCTGAACATGAAGGGATTGATCAATAGCATACATATCCATCTCACTTCCATCACGTTGAAGTTTATGCTGTTGCAATTGCCCTTGAGTAGTTTTAGCCTCATGTCTCGAATTATCAGTAGGCAGCGGGCCCTTTCCCCGATTGCTCACTGACTGGTCTCTTGAACTTCGGTATGAACCTCCATACCCATAAGGCTTGTTTCTATCCGCATAGTCACCATGCCGGTTGCCATTGTTTACCGATTGTCCATTTCGTCCACTTCTATCTCCTTCACGATTAGCTCGGTAAGGCGAACGACTTCTGGTTCGAGGACGTTTTTCGGGATGCCTATCCCGATGATCATGATCGTCATATCGTAGTTCGGATGGGTTCGTTGGCCCCTTGTCTATGTCTTCGTATGAAACCCGTGGGCGGCGTCTATGGTCTTGAGAATAATCTTCGTAATGAACTTTGAATCGTCTTGAGTCGTTTCTGCTACGGTCTGGGTAGTCGTCATCTCTAGGTCTCTTCGAACCTCGAGAGTGTCGGTCAGAATAAGGGGAACGACTTCTTTGATCTCTAGATCTATATGATTGCTCGGGGGAGCGTGGTGATAAAGAAGTCGTACTAGAACGGGTTCTGTCTTGACGGTCAACGGAAGTGCTACCGAGTGTACGCAGCGACGTAGTTGCCTTCTTCTCCACTACTCCATCGCGAATCTCGCCCTCATCGGAGCTTGCTAATGATGCCGTCATATTCCTTGTTGTAATAGTAAGGACGAAAGCGCCCCCTGCCTTTAGATTTGGATAAATGTGTGTCAGCCAAAGATCACAAACAAGATCCCAAAGTGAGAAGAGCCCAACCGGTTATCTCTCAGCGCATGATTTTCTTCTTTGCTTTGGTTTGCTTTGGCAGTATAATGGCGAAGGAAGAGTCTGAGTATAATAGAAAAGAGTATGAGAGAGTGAAGTGTCAATGTCAGTTTGACTGCCAAGTTGTTCCTATGTATGTGGTTGTACAACTGAAACTGATAAATTCAACATCTTGCATGACGGTCAATTGCAGCTTCCATATCGATAAACGTGCTAATCTAAATTAGGCTAGGCTGATTTTGCATCCACCTTGTCAGCATTCTTTAAAGAAAACCCGCAAAGATACCCTTCCCCCACCAAAAAGTGCCTCGAGAAGTCCAGAATAATTCCGCATATTTCCAATCAAAAAGACGATCAGTTATTTCAAAAGGTCACCCAAAACATCGATAAATTCAATTCAAAATGGGAGGAAGTTCGTATAATCTTGTTCATCCTTCCAAGGCCGCATGTCACTGACCGATACCCAGACGGCACAAACCCTATCCACAACAAAGTGAAGAAGAAGGTCAAGGTTGAGGATGATGATGAGACCATCGCATTCAAGCAGAAGCAGAAGGAGGGTAAGTGACTTTGTGTTCCCACTATCTAGGACACCTTGTTGACAATCACTACTTCAGACAAGGCAAGGCAAGACAAATTAGCCAAGGAGATCGGTGGACAGAAGGGCCCTTTGAAGACCAAGTCGCACGGCATTTCCGGCAGCGGTGGTAAGGGAAAGAAATGAATGGAGTTCAGTTCTATGTGCGATGGATTATTGAGTTTACGAGATATTTGAGCAAAGGCGTGGATAATACGGCGTATGGGTTTGATGGAGGATTTTCAGACTTGTGTGACAAGGCTTCGAGCTGAATATGGGGAACCATTTACCAAGATGGAGTAATCTATTCAATATGCTTAGGCATATTCTGGACAATCTATATTGATCCGGTATTGATACAGAAATTATGGACAAATGCAGGCCTGTCTCAACTGTGAAAGTATTTTTATTATTAACTGCCACAGATGGCTACAACTTCGCCGCTTACAGGCCCATGAAAAACTTCGCCGACTGTGTTGGTGTGATGAATTGATGGATTTATTGATTTAAAGCACTTGAAAATTCCGCGACTCCCCCTTCCCCATTTCATACACGAAGGTATAAAAATCAGAGGGTGAATCGTTGCGGATGGTCATGGTCACCGGTCTGCCGCCTCATGGCCATCAAACCCCTCGACCGCAGCCGCTACTTTGGTATCAGCTCCTGACCAACATCGTCAGTACTTTCATCCTTATTTGAGACACTCATTGTTTAATCAGTATTGTCTATGTACACTGCACCATACAAACTAGAATCTCGCGCTACCCGCGCCTTCTTCTCAGCTTTCGCCTTCATGGCTTCCCTGGCTCTGGCTCGCTGCCTTGCTATTCCAATCTTCATCGCGTTCCTCCAGTTTTCGACCACAAAGAGTTTGACCAATTGAATGTTGTAAAACCCGTTCTGATCCCTGATTGCAGCTTCAGGAACAGCCCCCTCGTATAGTTCTCCTTCCATAATGACACCCTTCAGGACCTTTGTAGCTGCGGACCTTGTTTGATTATCACCTCCGTCAACCGGAATGTTGGCCTTGATACCGTCATTCATCACTTCCACTAGATGTCTTGCAAGATTCCAATCGTGTCGCCTGGTTTCGTATTCCTCCTTGACACTAAATTTCTTGAAAACTTCATTGCGGATTTGTTCCCTCGTGATTTTACTATCACTATACCTTCCTGCTTCTCGACACATAGGGATAAATTCATCAACCCAGGCTTTAAAAATAGGTCGTTTTACCAGACGTTGACGATCATTGTGCTTTAACTTTTTCTTTCCCTCTGCTCCGCCTTCTTGACCCCTCTGAGCAACAATGCCAGTGGCATCTCCATCCGCTTCATCTTCGGCCACATCTCTGACCCAGAACATTCGACAAGTTGCGGCATATTCAAACATTTCCTGCTGGGTACTGAAACGTTTCCACCACTTTTCTTGATCCAGCCCTAAGAAGTCCAGTATCTCGGTCGGATTGTCAGTCAGAAATACCATGCTCTTCTTCCTATCCGCCAACTCAATTTCGGGGATCCTGATGAAAAATGCGCGGTTGTTGATAGTAAGTCCGAAACCTCTGATCGTGGTGCCAATGATGTTCCAGAGGTCGCCATGAGCAGCATGAAATAGTTCCCAGTCAAATTCATGTTCGCTTTTACATATATGGACATCGACTTGAACGTACCAGCTCGCCGACGAACCATCTGTAGATTCAGCCACTTTATTTTCATCCTTAGCACTAGTGAAAATATTCTCTGGCCAAGGAACCGCAAAATTGATGGTAGGATTGCATTCGTCTTGCACCAAGGCTTTGGCATTCAAAGCTTTCTTGAGCTCCTCCACGACTCGATCTTCGGAAGAAAATGCGCCTTCCAAAGGCAATGCAACAAGGATGTCAACATCCCCATACGTAGTCTTGCCAGGTCCTTCAATTGCACTCTCAACTTTGGAGTAATGTTTGCGCAGAACAGCTTGATTTTGTTTGAGAGCTTCATCGTAGACTTCCTGAGTCATACGAGGCGTCTTGATGGGTGGAACCTGAGAAGAAAACGCGTGTCCTCCCATTGTCTCAAGGAACTGCAGTAGAGAGAAAGTAAGATTAAAGAAGAGAATATTCCTTGGTTAAACAAGTATTAGAGATGTCAGGATTCATGTGCAAATTCTATAAGCCACACCAAACGACGACAAGCATTGTGCTGTGCTGTGCAAACATGATATGGATTGTGATAGAAATCAAATGTGCAAACCTAGAGAAGCAAAACCATAAAAGGAAATCAGGGAGGGGACCGGAAAAGAAAACTCCAACCACAGCTCTCCCTTCCTTCTGTACGATGTCAGAAACGGCGATGTCGTTTACATGGTAATTACAAAATCGTTGAAAATGTTCAGAGGAAGGATACTTTCAACCAAGATTTATGCCAATTTTATCATATTTTCATCCGATTGTGCCGTAAGTCTTTCTTCGCCATTCTCCGCCAATGCTCGACTCTGCGGGGGTTTACCAGGGAACCAAGGAATGATAATTCCAAGGTTGTCTTTGCTATAACTTAGTCATTACTGCGCCTCTACGCCTCAACATTGTGTCCAAATGGTACCTAGGTAGGCTTGATTTGTATAATGGAGGAATTCTAAGCGCTATATGACTGGCCACCCCTCATTTGACCTCTGCCATAGCCCCGTGAGGATTCTTGACGTTAAGGTTTGCCTTCTGCAACAGCTTCGCGATAAATAGCACTTGAATCCTTCTGCTCTGCCTACTTTTACTGGCTTACAACCACTCTTTGAGTCAACTTACATTTACAGGCATAGATTTCTTACAGAACAATAAGAACGCAAGAATGTCATATCAAAATTATCCCCCGTATGGTGCACCGCCGGCTGGACGTGAGTAAAATCTACATTCTCATTTGCGACAATATCTGACTTGAGCGCAGTTGCCCCGCAATCTGGATACCCACCACAAATACCCCCTCGTCGTATGTGAATCGACATTTGCGACAGTGCAGCACTTGTTGACTATGTAATAGATTCCCCTCAACCATATCAGCAATACCTTCCTACCCAAACTCCATATCCTCAAAAGTCATATGGTGCTCCTCCACAGCAACCTCCATATTCACCGCAGCAACAACCCTACCAACACTATCCTCCCCGACAAGGTTCCTACCCACAACAGCAGCCATATGGCGCACCTCCGCCATGTCCACCGGGGCATTTTCCCCCGCCGCAATCATCGCCTTATCCTCCGTCGCAAAGCGGATATTCTCAACCACCATATGGCGCTCCACCCCCAGGCGCACAACCTCAGTATGGAGCGCCAATGGGCTACGGACAACCTACTCCACCTTCAGCCGGATATGACCTGAACTTACCAAGTCCTCCTCGCATACCCTACGATGGACGCGAAGATGCGCAGAAGTTGCGCAAAGCCATGAAAGGTTTCGGTACGGATGAAGCGACTCTTATCGAGGTGTTGCATAACAAGGGACCTTTGCAAATAGAAGTTTTGCGACAAGCTTTCTCCGATACTTTCAAAAGGAAATTGTTAGCAGATGTGGAGAGTGAGACAAGCTCGTATTTTAGAGAGGGTCTCGCTGCGATTATTCGGGGTCCTTTAATACAAGATTGTCATTTGCTCTATTCGGCCATGGACGGAGTAGGTACAAAGGAGAAATACCTGACTGAAGTGTTGATGGGTAGGTCAAATGCCGATATCAATGCGATCAAGTCAATGTATCAACGCCGATACAAGAGGAGCCTGGCAGGCGACATCAAAGGTGATTTGAGTATGAAGACAGAGGATCATTTCTTGATGGTATTAGAGGCAAATAGAAACGAGGAGAGTGCGCCAGTAATACCTCGCGATGTTGACCGAGATGTGGCATCCATATGGAATGCGACAGAGGCCATACGTGGACATGATGCAAAGACCGTTTGTGAGATATTCACGAAACGAAATGATGCTCAGTTACGAGCAATCAATCACACGTACCAGCAACAACATGGAAAGCCGTTGGAATGGGTTATTAAAAAGGTAAGTGACATCATTACAAATGTATTTAGAAATCTCACTGACTCCCTGGACAAGAAGTTCAGCGGCCACATGGAGGATGCCCTCCTCTATCAACTTCGCTCGGCTTCGGATAAAGCCATGCGTGATGCAAATCTCATGGAGGAATCAATGAAAGGATTTGGCACAAAAGATAAATTACTTGTTGCTCGAGTCGTTCGATGTCATTGGGATCCCAAACACATGGATCAAGTCAAGGGTGCATATCAGCATGCCTACAGACGATCTCTGGCATCCAGAATTTCTGCGGATACAAGTGGTTATTATGAGAAGCTGATGGTAAAGTGCGTCGAGTGCAGTAATTTGGTTCAGCCTGGTTATACATGGTTCTAGATCATTTGCATCAAGAAGGTTTTGTTTTCATTTGGGCTATGTATGATGTGTTTGGAGGTATGGACTATAGTTCTGACAATTTTGGGATTCGGTATTGGAAGGAAAGGCCATGAGATACAGGGAATGGAGAGGTAATTGGGGATCTCCACCAGCGAGCAATCGCGATAGGTAGTACTTTTCGGTTATACGGCGTTTATTTAGGATGAAATTGGTGAGATGATACCAGGACCAAGTACACTACGAATTTATTTTGATTATTTTGCGAATCTTTCGTTCTGAATCCCAATGAGTCTCAGTGTGTACAATATCTTGTTTGTGTTACCTGTTATACTTGGCTTGAACACAAGTATGTACGCTAGCAATTGACCACCCCGCCAGTCGAAGGAAGAAAGGAAAAGAAACAGAAAAAACGCTGTACCGTATCGTATTTGAGTAAATTGCTAGTAATTATTATTATTAGTACCCTGGGTTTGAATACGAAAGAATTGTTATGAATAATTATTATTGCTATCTTTTGAAAAATATGGAAAACGAAGTAAAATGAGTATTGGATAATATTAATCTACTATCATAATACAATCACGACTGGATGACGATAATATAGAATGACTATACTATGTATACTAAAATCGTAAGAGTTTCATGCTGCTGTTTCAGAGACTTGTCTTATGAATTAAGGATTAATAACATATTGATTGATATGATATGTAGATAAATGCTTAGATGGGAATTATACCTACATACATACATACATACATAC